AGATATCGCAACAAGAGGGCTCACTCCAGCAGCCCTGACGCAATCTCAACTCTGGTGGCATGGTCCAAATTGGATCGGGAAGAACGAATCACAATGGCCACTACACTCCGATACTCTGTCAACCTCGATTACAACTGGCGCGGGTTTAAAAACCGTGCACACTCATGGTTCCATCAACGACTATACGATTACAAAAAGCTGGGAACGGCTGTGCCGTATTGTAGAAAAAATCATCACTTTTTTTCAGACCTTCCATCGCAAATATACCGCACTCCCCAGCAGCGAAGCAACGCAACATGATCGCAGAACCTGGATCAAAACATTTCTTTTGTCTCAAGCCCAAAAGGACCTCACAGAAGCAGAAATCAAGCAGTGGGGACTGGTAAAAGACGAGAAAGGTTAATGGAGATCACCAGGAAGACTATTGCTTCTACATCAGATGCCACCCATTTTTCTCAATTATCAACATCCGCTCACTGCAACACCCATCTTAAAGGCCCATCAGGAATGTGATAACTTTGCTGTCTCCTATACCCTTACAAAATTTCAGTAGAAATTTTGGATTGCGAAGAGACGACAAACAGTAAAAAAGTGCTTAAAGCGCCACTGTATGAAATGTCGCAAAACAGACGCCCTCCCTTTCAAACTAGCCACGATGGCTTTACTTCCTCTAAAACGCTTGAAAACTTCACGACCCTTTCAGCATGTCGGTATCGATTACGCAGGACCATTCAACGTTTCAAACGGTAAGATACAAAAAAGATGGATTTGCTTGATCACGTGTTTAGCAACTAGAGCAGTACATCTAGGAATTGTATCAGATCTTTCGGAACAGTCCTTTCTTAATGCATACAAGCGATTTACGGCCAGACGAGGGGAACCAAAAACAGTGGTATCAGTTAACGAAACACATTTTAAGGCTGCAGCGGAAAAAGTTGGTGCATACTGGACCTTTATTACACCGCACGCACCGTGGAAAGGCGGTATTTACGAAGGAATCATTGGTTTGTTCAAAACAGCATTCAGGGAGACCGTGGCAAAGAAACTACTCACCGCAGAAGAACTGTTAACAATTACAATCGAAATTGAGAGCATTCTCAACTCGCGAATTACCCCAGTCAACGACGACACAAATGACGTGTTGCGGCCAATCGATTTTTTGCTGCCACAAGTACTTCAAACGCAAAACAACAAAAATCATAACCAATTTGACTTTCAGTATCATAACTCTACTCAGTTAAACACTTATTTCAGAAAACTTGAGAAAACTCTCGACGACTTTTGGACTGAGTGGCAGAAGAGCTACTTACAGTTCCTCCGTACTCAGCCAGACGTCTCCCTCAAACAGCCAAACAAGGTGGTCCGACGAGAACCTGAAATTGAAGAAATAGTTATTGTGGCTGACGATAACCTTTCACGCGCCAAATGGGAACTGGGGAAAATTGTCAACACTCATCGGAACAATCGAGGACAGGTAACAACAGCAACATAACAACTTCCTAAAAGTGAGTTCTTCACAAACTCGAAAGAAGTGCGGCGCTCTGTCACACATCTTTTCCCTTTAGAAGTCAATCGTAATATGCAGAATCAACGGGACTCTAGAGATGTCAACCTTGAGAAGGAAGCACCAGAGGTTGCCAATATCGCCCTCACCCATCAACCGAAAACGCAATGGAAGCAGCTTTCCTTATTAAAATTCTTCGTCACTTCTCTAATTTTTTTCTTCACCTGTTTCCCACCCTGCTTTGCGCTCATCGAGTACGATTGTGGTAACACAAATTTAAATATCATTACACTTGACGCTACTCGCGTTCCTCCATGTCAAATGTACTCGAAACCACCTGCCATTATAACTGCAATTATTCAATTGACCCAGCTCTCCGAATCATACTTAGTTCAAGTCACTCAGTGTAAGGTGGTCGTCTGACGGCACGTTACCAAATGCGGTATGTTTTCTCCTTCTTCTTAAGTCCCCGCAGGGAATGCCACGTTTCTGATTCGGTCAAGCGAAACTCAATGTGAAGAACTGTATCAAACTGGTAGCTTGCAAATTCAAGGCAGTATTTGGTTCCATGCAGCCGGTGAAACAACACACCAAAGTTACTGCTTTGGTCGGTTCTCTAACGCCCGAAGGCCGTTGCTCGGGAGGGAGCTACGCAGATGTTTATAGCTTGTGGCAGGACGTAGTGGTCCAAGCAACATACACCATTACGACGGATCGGTACGAAACGGTAGCGCGTACTTTTACAGACGAAATAAAACTGAGATCACAACTCACTTGCCGATATTCCGCGGGTTACTGCATGGATATCGAACAAGGAGACACGTATTGGGAAGTTAACCAAAAGAAGCATGTAGTAAAGAGACCCACATTGTACTCTACAAAGGGAATGCTGGACTCATTACTTCCCAAGATACTGACGAAGGAGGAAACCAGAGAGTTACGTATTCAGTCGAAGAGGGTCAGAAGGTATTTGCCCTGCGCCGTACAACACCATACAG